GTGCACTAGTTCGGGCGAGAAGAATGGACCCGACTTCGGCTCAGACCCCAACTAGAGATTTAGGGAAGTTTCCTCTACCTTATATTTTTTTAATTGTGTGTCATGAGGACATGCCACAACTTAAAGTGTGGGGTGGAGGATATTTGTATGTATGTATGTATGTATCTATATATGTATGTATATTAGTCTTAGGTTTTGCTTGTTAGATTTAGTAGTTTGATAGAAGAAAAAAAACATAAAAATGTTAAATTTTTTGATTTTTCCCGACGATGGATATCATATCGACAGGTTTCTTGAGGGATTAAAATCGAAAGAAAAAGACAAAAAGATTTTCTTTTGTTGTTAGTGTAATAATTTTCCTTTGGTTTTTCTTTGTGCCGCAGTTCTTTTTCAAGGGTTTTATTTAAACCGGGTGTAGTTAGTTTTTATTTTGTAGAATAGTATGAAACCTTGTGCTATGATTGAATTAAAAGCAATATCTCTTGACTTTATTATGTCTTGAGAATAGTAAGTGCTTTAGTTGTGACGCTTAGGCTCAGTTTTTGACTCTTGCATAAGTACCTTAATTTGTATAAGTTTAACTTTGTTTAATTGCTTTGACTAGAGTATTTTCATAGTCTAATCTGGAGTGAGTTATGTGCCATGTGTGTGTAAGGTTTGTGTCGTTCTGTACATTGTATTTGATGTCTAGAACTTGCCTCGTGTATTTGCAAAGCGAAATAATAGTTTTGTTCAGTCTTGAAAGTGATATAGACATTTCTTTGTTGAGCGAGTTATATGCTATTACCCAACAAATTGTTATGTATCTTAGTTAATCCCTTTGAGCCTATAATCTTGGTTCTTTGGCAACCACATTACAAACCTTACCCATTTGTTTGAATTGACCATCTATTTGAACCTTTTACCTCTCATGAGCACTTAAAATTGTATGAACTTTGTAGAAGTTGAAGTTAGGGTGATTGGGTTGATTTTTGAGTGGAACTATTGAAATAAGGAGAAAGGTGCACGATTTTTTTAAAAAAAAGAGCCACTTGAATTGTAAAAGAAAAAAAATATAATTATATGGTTGTGAAAAATATTCCTTGATAGTAGTAACTCTTGATATAATTGTGCTTAAAGAAGTAGGGAGTTAATCTATATTGATGTGAAGGAGGAGTTATGGTTTGACATAAGCAGGTTTTGAAAGGTAAAGTGTATGTATTAAAGTGCTTAGGGAGGTGTAGTCACTCTTATATCTAAATGTATCCTATCCATCCCGCAACCTACATTACAACCAATTAAAGTCTTACTTGATCCTTGACTGAATGAGCTCAATTAGTAGAGTGCAAGCATATGGTTCATCTTTTATGGCATATGAATGTTGTTTCTAAGAGTAAGTGACTTCTTTCTACCTTGAGTTCCTGATTGTTCGTAATTTTTATGGTGTGTGGAACTACTCTCTATTGTTGTGCGAGGGCACTTAATTCACGAAGAAAATGTAATGCTTGACCTCTATACTAGAGTAAGTGAGCGGGGTTATAAATAATGCGTGGTGCTTGTGGGTCAAATCTTGAGGCTAGGATGTTACGCTATTGTGCTTAGTCTATTTTAAATATTCTTGGTATGGTGAGTTATGAGAGTTGTGTAAAAAGGTCGTGTCTTTATAAAGTATAGTTTGATTGCTCGAGGATGAGCAATGGTTTAAGTGTGGGGTGTTGATGGTAGGCTATAATCTCGTATTTTAGTCGCTTGTTGCACTCTAATTTACTGCACTTTAATTGAGTTTGAGATTTAATCGCTAGTGTTTTGCACTTATTATGTGTTTTATGCCATGTAGGAGTGATTTCGAGTTATATAAATGTTATGGAGCTAATTCGAGTGATTTGGATCTTTGAAGTCTGAATAAAAGCCCAAGGTAGTAAGCCGGAATCGTGTTCGGGGGTCGAGGACCAAGTCTGGATGTCAAAATCAAAGCAAAATCCGTACTCTGAGAAATTTGCACTAATGCGACGCACAATGCGACACATTGTGCGACGCGTTAGTGCAAATTCCTGCTCCTGTCAAAGTTCAAGCTCCTTGAAGTTTTCCACTACTGCCCCGCCTGGCACGTTACCCCATGCGGCGCGCCTGTACAAAGTTTGCAGAGTAATTGTCCTAATTCGCGTAGGAAAAGGTACTTTCGTATGGGCCCGACCCTACTTGGTATAAATACATATAAAAATATTATTTTTAGAACTTTTGACACATCTAAGACCTAAGGAGGCTAAGGAGGAGTTTGAGAAGCAAAAGCACAAGGAATTCATCATTCAATCCTCACTCAAGACAAGAGTTTAAATCGTTTTATGTTTTTCTTTATATTTGTGATGAATTACTCCATATCTATGGAGTAGTTCTCTTTAGGGATTGATGAATTTGGTGTATTGATATTTATTTGTGGATATTAACTCTAGTTTTTATGTATTGAATAGTTTTGGTTGATTTAATTGTTGCATCTATATTCACATATTCATGTAATCGAGAGAGGCATAACTTGTAATATTTTTGCACTATCTTGTTGGTGGAGTTCATTAATTCTTATTAGTAATCGAAAGAGGCTAGTTGAGTCATTGATTAAACCTAGTTAGGAGGATAATCGAAAGAGGTTCTCCTAAAGACCAATCCATTACGAATTCTTGCATATCTTCTCCGATCTTAAATTGGTTCATATTGTGAGGTTGAGACTTAATCGAGAGAGGAGTTTCTACGAAACGTTTGAACTAATAATTGAGTGAATTCGAGAGACTCACTTGAACATTAGGAGTGAATTAACTAGAGTTAATCCCAGATAATTATCTTGCACCTATCCAATCAACCCCTATTTTCTCCCATTGATATCTTCCTTGCTTACTTTTGTTGCGATTGTCATAGTCAATTAGCTCTAGATTCTTAGTTAATTTTAGTTTTTAATCACATAATTCTCAAATGTTGATCATATTGGACAGAAATTAAACTAGAAGCTATGAAAACACTATTTAAATTCAATCCCTGTGGATACGATATTTTTATACTATATTCGACTAGCGAGCCTAAGTTTTATACACCAGTTTTGCGATCGTCAGTTGGAACGATGGAAGAGGATTGAAAGTTTGTGAATATTAATAAAGTAAAAGCGAGATAAGTTGATTAAAACTTATTTTTCTTGAAGGATTTTCTCTAACAACATGTTTCACGTTAATGATTAAGTTGTTTGCAAATGTGCTTTCGTGCTTGTGGGGACAAACAAGTACGGATGTATCCATGAACTAAAATATTACGTTGCATATGTAGTGTCATGTTGTTTTATAAAAATTTATTTTAAATCGTGTTGGCAAAATGACACTCAAGGTAAATGTTATAAGTTTTTATCAAAACTTACGTATTGATAAGAATATACATATTTGGGTGCTAAAGATAAGTTTTCATGAAAAGTATTTCTTTTGAAAATTGATAAATAGAATAGCACTTGTGGTATCTTTCATATTAAATTGCTAGAGGTTTTAACATGTAAAAGTTGTTTATTTAAATTTTGTTCAAATGGCTTAGATTTTCTATTAATGCTATGATTTGATAAAAATAGATCCTTTGAGGCTACTATGCTATGAATTTATTTTTAAAGTATCAAATATTTTGGGAGTTACTTGTGTTCACCGAGATTGACTTCGGATATATTGTGTTCGTCGTCATGAAACTACACGTGTCGGTGTAGGCGTAGATGGCCACTTTGTGGTATAGACTACGTCAGAGTGCTCTCCCTCGAGGGGTACTGTTTTGTGCTATTATTAGCATGGCTGAGTCGATTCGTACGGCATTACGATAAGGCGACCTGAGCAATTAAGGTATATAATACTTGCCGCTAGGTACATGACCTAGTTGACCTTCTTATGTCGGTGATGGTATAGTACTCCCAGTTAAAGGTAATAATGATTTTCCTATGTTTAGGCCTAAGGAGCCGAAAGTGATTTCAATGACTTAAAGCAAATGAAATGATTCTGTATGATTTTATCCAAAATCTTGGGTTGATATAAATATTTTAAAAGTATATATTGTGGGCTATGTTTTACTTGTCTTTTATTTAAAATGATAAGGATCATGAATTGATAAATTTTTTTATCATTTTATATCAAATATTGATGCACTATTTTTATAAAGTTTGTCCCAAGAACATAAATTAGAGAGAGTATATGACACTTATTGAGTACCGTTATGGTGTACTCAGCCCTTAGCCCCCCTCCAGGGCCTCGCTTACTTTACATGTTTCAGGATGAGGTATGATACGTGGCATACGGTCAGGGTTAGGATGACTCTCTTCCTGAGGTATATGGTGAGGCACCACTTCTATTTCGTGGTAGCTATCATGTTGTTATCTTAATTTATGCTAGTCGGGTATTAGCCCAAGTGTTTAATTATATTAGTTGGTATAAATGCTTCATAGATAGTTGTGAAAGGTTGTAGTAACGGGGTTGTACGCGACATACATGAAAATATATTTATTTTACTCAGTCTCATTGTTATTATCATGAAAGGCGTCATGTGTGATTTCGAATTGGAAAATATTTTACCATTTAACTTAAAAATGTATATGATTTTTAAGGAGCTTCCGCAGTTAAATTAGTTTTCATGCATATGATTTGGGTGCATCATATGATTTGGTTCGCTCGGATCGGGTAGTGTACCGGGTGCCGATTGCGTGATTTTGGGTCGTGACAATAGTAACATACTGACATTTAGTTAATTACTCATATATCTCAAAATATGAGATATACAATTTTCATATCAAGAAAATTATATAGTATAATTATTTTTCATGGAATATTTATTAGGGCGGCAGAACAAAAGTTTTACTGAAGTCTCTGTTTAATGTTTGGTTGTAAATATGATATCAACACTAACAAATTAAAATATACAGTGTAGATTATTCTTTTTAATTCTCCAATACTAGTAAAAAATAAAAAATAAATGCGTATTCTAGGATAAGATATTGAGCACTTGTTTTTCTCTCTGTTGTCTCTATACTTCACACGGAAACAAAGATCGCGGGCTCGCCACTGTTACCACCAACAAAACTCCCGCGTTTTACAAGGCAGCAAACCTTGTGCAATTCCCTTAAAAAAAACCTCTGAATCTAATCAAAACCCCAATTTCCAGTGTCCCCAGAAATGGCAAAACGGAATCTTTCAGACTCAGAAACAGAAGAGAGAAACTCAGGCTCAAGCTCGGACTCAGGGGACTCCCCGGTGGAAATGGAACCCCAAAGTACCGGGAAAATCACAGAGTATGAGAAACAAAGAATGAAGAGAATTCAAGAAAACAAAGCAAGAATGGAGGCAATGGGTCTCCACAATATGGCCACCTCTTTGATGGGGTTTTCCCAAAAACCCCAGAAAAAAGGCAAGGACAAAAAGGGAAAAAAGAAAGTGGTTGATGAAGATGAAGATTATGAGCCAGCTCAAAGTGAGGACCTTTTAAGTGCTTCAGGCGAAGAAGATGAACAACATGATGTGGATTATGAAGTTTCAAAGTCCCAATTGAAAAAGGTACAACCTTTTTACTTTTTCTGTTGGTTAACTAAGTCCGATAAGGTAATTTGTTATTGCATCGGACAGATTTTAGCTTTTTTGGGAAAGATTGTAAATTTTGTGAAAGGTACAATTTTTCAGGTGCAGAAGCACAGTATGGAGCAAGAAATTTGTTATGCTCTATCTTTTACTTCTTTATGTTATTTTGTGTGCATTGATTGTATTTTGTAATTTTGTTTTTATGCTTATGATTAGTATAAAAATGAGTTACACCATTTTCATAAGAAAAGTAAAGGAAGCAACAATGTCATACCTTTCCTTTTATACTGCCTAGTAGAAACTCTTAACTAAGAAATCTAACCTCTTAGAAGAATTATGTTTGTGGTTTTTGTTAAATGTGTGAATTCTACACTGATGATGTCAAAAAACAACTACAATCAAAGGAGTCTATTATGTGCATCCTGAGCTCTGAAACTTTTCATGAAGACAGGCTGCATACCTTGTGTTATCGTGTGTTGAGCATCAGAAAACTGATGTTCCTGAATATTGTTAGCTGGGAAAAACAACACATGAATGACATGCGTACTACAACTACTTTCAATTAAGGTATCTAAGTACATCTGAATTCTTAGATGTGGAGCTGTCTGTGAGGGAAGGCTGCCATCATAATTCGCATGCCCTGCATTTAGCCTTTTATTTGCTTCCGCAGTTGGAGAGACGAAATATTCTAGTTTGTTATCATGTTAATTTTCCTTGGATCTCTTGTTGCAGTCAAAGAAAAAAACTCAAACTCCTAAGAAGAGAGTTTCTAACACAACGGTACCAACTGACACGGATTTTGTGGACGACGATGACGCCTTAATGCAGGTGAAATAGATTACTATTATTCAGTCTTATTAACACACATATACATATATTAAAATGGAAAGATACATCCGCCTTACTCTTATGTTGGAGGCTGAGTAAAACATTGCCTTGCCAATATGTCTGCAGCTTTCCATCAGGTTTCCAACAACAAGTATTTATTTATCTATATGCAGGCTATTGCCTTGTCACTACAAGATTCTTCAGGTTTCTTGAATCTTGCAAATGAAGTACCTAGGCAAGTCACTGATGCAGATTCCGCGCATAAGGCCAGCAATGAAAAAGCTTCTTCCAAAAAGGCCAGTAACAAAAAAGAAGTAGGTTCCTGCAATCAGGGAGATACTACTTGGAAGAGGAAGAGAAAACAACAGGTATGCTCTATTATTTACTTTACTAAATCAGTGAAAATTCTGAAACTTTCTCATATTCCTTCCTTATGCTTGGGTACTTTACAATTGTTTTTAGCAGACAAGAAATCGAGTGCAGATGACTGAGGATGACTTGATTATGCATTTCTTTCAGTTCGATGGTAATGCTGACTCTGCATTTTAAGATTTAGCATCTTGTACATATGGAAGTGATAAGTTATAGTACAATTTTTGGTCCACAATATTGAAATTTTTTCTGATTTCACATGTACTTCTTGCACGTTCTAGCATGATATTTCTTTGCTTTCTGTTCTAGATTGATTGTATAGTCCCATTAATTAGTTGGTATCTTTTTCATAGAAGCTGGAAAAGAGAGTATAAGTCTCAGAGATTTACGGAGGGTGGCAACTTCCCATGATTTTACATGGTCAGATGAGGAGCTGGCAAAGATGATACATTGCTTTGATTCCAATGGAGATGGAAAGGTACTTGTTCCCTTTAAATCTTATATTTTCTTAATCTTTTTTGGTTTACAAAAGTATTCCCTATTCAGTGAAGACCTAAGTTTTGGATAAGATTCAATGAGGAAGAGATCCTGGAGGACAAGTGCTATTAGTATTAAATCTTTATTGCTTTCATGCTTGGGTCGAATGTAGACAAGTCAAAGCAATAAATCATAAGCTAGCCATTGAGGCACACTCGTCAGGCGCTTAGTAACTAAGTTATACTAGATATTAATTGCATAAATTATTTTAAACAGAAAAGGGCCTAAAATGCCCCTTTACAATATGAAATAGGACATGCTAGCCCTTCGTTAAAAGTTAGTCTCTATTATGCCCTTGCCGTCAACAAATGGGCTAGTATATGCCCTCCATCACTAACGGGAGACTCATAAAGCCACGTGGAATATATGTGAGGGCAAGTTAGACCTAGTTCGAATTGTACGAGGCATATATGATTCGGTTATAATAGTCATTTCCCAAACACTTCACAACTCCATATCAGTTTACTTAGACACCTATTTGACAACACCAAACTAATTATCACAGCAAATAAACCAAGTCATAGACACAAACATTCAAATGAATGGCAATGACTTCATTAAATCCTAGTAGCTCAAAGGGGTCGAATCATAACAAAAGACAACAAAAGACAATGTCGGAATGTTCTAGTAGCTCAAAGGGGTCGAACATAGACACAACAAATGAATGGCAATGACTTCATTAAATCCGTGTACAAAAACATAATGCTTCATTACATAATAAAAGACAACAATTAAGTCACAATAACACTAACATTACATATCATTTCCCACTGATCCAAAGAACATAACAAAACATCCCAATATCACAGACATGAAAAGCCACATCTTCTTCCGAAATTTAGCATCAAGCACAACTGAGTACTCTAAATCGGTCACTTTCTTCATTAGAACATTTCTTTCCAATTCCAAGGCTTCTATTCCTCCATGATCGACGAGCATCATAACATTCTCAAGATCAAATTTTCCTTTGGAGAGCATTTCTTTCACGGATTAGAGCTTCCTTTTCCTTCTTTAAACTGCATATAAGATTTGAAACTCTAGGAGGAAGCTCTTCATCTTGCCATTCCCAATAGGAATATTTTTCATCCTAAAAATCCAAAATAAATAAAACAAATTTACAAGCAAATCGGAATAATTAAAAGAACCCATCAAAAAATTTATTTACCTCATGCTTCGGGCACTTGAAAAACCTTCTCCCAGCATTTAAAGGAGTCCATGCCATGAAATAATTGGCAGCAAGTCCGCAATGACACCTCCTATTCGATCCCTTTGAGCTACTAGAACATTCCAACATTGTCTTTTGTTATGATTCGACCCCTTTGAGCTATTAGGATTTAATGAAGTCATTGTCGTTCATTTGAATGTTTGTGTCTATGACTTAGTTTATTTGCTGTGATAATTAGTTTGGTGTTGTCAAATAGGTGTCTAAGTAATCTGATATGGAGTTGTGAAGTGTTTGAGATATGACTATTATAACTGACTCATATATGTCCCTGTACAATTCGAACTAGGTCTAACTTGCCCTCACATATATTCCACGTGGCTTTATGAGTCTTCCGTTAATGATGGAGGGCATATACAAGCCCATTTGTTGACGGCAAGGGCAGAATAGAAACCAACTTTTAACGAAGGGCTAGCCTGTCCTATTTCATATAGTAAAGGGGCATTTTTGGCCCTTTTCCGTATTTTAAATAAAATAATATATAATATAATACACCTATGATTAAAGAATGAATCTAAAATGATAAATTAATACCATAAGTTGGGAAGTTAAAAACTTTTTTTTTAGAAGGGAAGTTAGAATATGTAACCGCCTCGGTTTCTGTTCCTTGGGCACCAAACAAGGACGTCACTCTAAGGTGTTTGGGTTTTATAGATTAGTTACTTAGAAAGATTTAGTTAGTTATATGGAGGTAGGTTATGAATCATCTGCAACTGAAAAGGGAAAAAGTGGCTAATCCTGTTGTTGTTTTCTTCTGCTAGGCTTTTGATAAAATCTTTTCTATGACCTTCCACTGGCAAAAACTAACTAAAAACCTGAACAGTTGTTCCTACCATCAAATTTTTTATTTTTGGTTCTTTTGGTGTAGCTGTCGTAAATTATGTGTACTAAGAGAAACAAAATTGATGGCAATAATGAGTTGATCCACGTGTATCTGTCCTAAAATGTATGTTCTAAAATATATGTTTTGAAGCTGTATACTTCTAAGTTCGTCAATCTTTCTTGTTTTTTCTAATTCCTATCTACCCTGTTGTAACGGCGTATGCAGTTGAGCCTGGATGATTTTCGCAAGATTGTGGTCAAATGCAATATGATAAAAGGTTCTGAAGATGCTGCTTGATGATGTATTCAAAGAGTACTCGAATCTTACTAAAGAAATAGAGGACTTTAAGTGCTATTGGACGTGACTGGCTTAGACTTTACGCCACTACACTATCTACCCTTTGTTAGGGGGGAAATTTTATAGCTAAAAAGTTGACAACTAGAAACAAAAAAAAGGTTCTCAGTATCTCAGCGCAAGATAAACTGACAATTGCAACGGGTTTCAAATGATGGCTTTCAAGTAATAGAATGATTTTTGCTTATAATGGAAAGGAAAGAAGGGTTATTTTAACCTTAGATATTAGTACAATCAATAGTATCTTCTCTTTTTGCTTTCATTCTGAACTCTTCCAGCCAACATGTTGTAAGTTCTTCAAGAAGATGGCGATTGAATGTTGGAACGCAATGACCTCACATTAACTATCTGGTTTATCCTCCATTAACTTTAACCAGTTATTGTTGCTTTAAGAGAGGAACTTTGCTCATTCTTGTATATGCATTACTGTGTTAACATATCAAAGCCCTTTCAAATTTGATGGAATTGTTAGTTTATAGCAGCTTACTATAATCCTATGTTAGTCTGCCAGCCAAGTTTACGCTCCTATAGCTCAAGTTATCAGAAACAATCCAGCTTGGGATTAGTTTGTTACTATAAATGCTGATAATGATAGTCCCTATTGAATTACTGTGTATTTCTCAAAGAAAACAGAGTTTTGCAACGAAAATCACTAAATGAGTGAATTTTTTGTTATTACTGCTAGATTCCTAAATGAGTTTTGCATCGAAAATCACAAAGCTGATCAATATCAAATCAATTACGTATGTATTCAAGAGTAATGTCATAACCCAAGAGTCCAAGTTATTATGCTAGATTTTTGTTATTCATTGTTCCGCTAGGTTGCAGCTTTTTTCTCTCAATCAATTACTGAACTATATCTCAATCTCAAATTAGTTGGATCAGCTGTTTTGAATCCTCTATCCGTTCTGCACTTCTGCTCAACTAAAAACCATTCAACTCCAATATTGCTTACCTCTAATGATAATTTTGAAGTTTACAAACTTTAAGCAAAAATTGGTTGAATTCTTTAAAGTCTTGCTGGGGACTTCAAAGTTCGAGAATAACAGTCCTACCAGAATGAGCTAATAATAATCCTTACATAGCAGCACTATACCAGAAATCTTATTTGTGCAACTTCAGTTTTCCAAATAGCTAGCCATCCTACACAGTTTTCAAGTTTGCCTGCTGGTAGGGTTCGAATGAGATTCAACTTCTTAACAACATATGTTTATAACTAGAAAATTGCATGGTATAAGGTATTCGAGGACGAAATCTCAAGAAATAAGGTTATAACTGTAAATGTAAAACTATTCTAAGTAAATCAAAACCGTTCGTAATATGCATTGGTGAACCAATAAGATCACGTCAACTCTGATAACTATTGGTGAACAGACAAACTAGCTGCAGCCACAAGGCCCATAATCAGGAGGTATGCTTAATTGGCAAACTAAAATGTCTCCTCCACATGTTGGCAAAGGAAGTCAAAAGCAGTTAATCACACGATGATGCTCTTGAGCTCACATTACAGAAACAGATTAAAACCTGTCTTGGTACATTTCAGTCAACCAGACAACTAATGATACAAAGCTTTACTGGATTAGTCACCTTTTTCTTCAAGGTTCTATAATTTTTTAAACACTTGGTGCACTGACGATATAGCAGCAACCTCTTAGTGATCATGTCTTCTTGAGAAGATAGCCAAGAAAGATGCCAAGCAGTCCAACAATAACAACATACATAAATGGGATTCCACCACGACTTCTGCTGCTTTCACGCTTCAAGAACTCCTGCACCCAACAAGGTTCATGAAGTTTAAGGATAACATTCAGAAGGCCACAATAAATTTCTTCCAGTGCTAGCATGGGAAAAGATGCGTTCTGTGTCAAATACTTTGACTACAATTTCAATTCAAGAGTCAGTGACTTCAAAATGCAGTAGCCTGACACTTAGTTCTCTTACACGGCCAGCAACAAATATAGCAATTAGCTAATCATACAGTCACCAAAAAGCAAGCAAGAGCTCATGATTAATCAATTCATTACCAAAATAATGAAAATGCCACACACTAGCCCGCCCTTAAAGGTAGCCCATGCAAACATGAACTGACAACGAGGTTCTCTAATTGTTGCCTTTTTTGAGGTCCACTGCACAGCTTATCAAGCTATATCGTCATTTGCCATAATAAAAGATTTCATCTTATGTTCACACGAATTAAAGAAAGAATGTGCTTTCATCCATGTGATCAAGAAAAAGGCAGTGCTTCATCCATGTGATTAAGAAAAAGGCAATGCTTTCCTATAACAGCGGAAGGGATGCAGTTATCAAAACAAAGGGAACAAACAAAGGATGCTTGCCTCATCAATGCAGAAAGGTTATACAATGGCTTGACCAACTAACAGAATGCTCGTTCTATGCTTGACCTACTAACAGAATGCCTGTCTATGCAGCATGTCCAGACCTCAAAATCCACTGACGTAGTTAACATATCTGACCATGTAATTGAAAAATCTTATTTCTCTCAATCACCCTCTGTCGTTACCTAAATACATAAATACCATCGCCTTTACACTCAATGACTTAAACCCTACTTCCAGTAGTGGAGCAGCCCGGTGCACCGTGCACAAGCATTAGTGGCTGCTTCCACGACTTGAATCCGTGACCTATAGGTCACATGAAGACAACTTTACCGTTGCTCCAAGTACGATCTTTAGCCCTCTCTAATCAGCTATTAAATGAAGCTCAATTCTTTTCTTCTGAGCTCTTCAATCTCTTTAAACAACAGCAAACCCAGTAGTTTCCTACAAGTGGGGTCTGGGGAGGGTAAGATGTACGCAGCCTTACCCTTGGAAGGGCAGAGAGGTTGTTTCCGATAGACCCTCGGCTAGAGAACGATTGAAAAAGAAAAGGTGATTGCAACAAGTAGGAATAACAACAAGATAAAATAAGATCGAAACCAAAAATGCAGTCAAACTCTAGGAGTAATAGCCATGTATGAATAAAAGATATCATACTAACACTAACGCTAGCGAACTGAGTAAGACAAAGAGAAACGCTCGACTACCTACGAACCTTCTACCATAATCTTTGACCTCCACACCCTCCTGTCTAGGGCCATGTCCTCAGTCAGCTCCAGCTGCGCCATGTCCCGCCTAATAACCTCCCTCCAAGACTTCTTAAGCCTACCTCTACCCCTCCTGCTGCCCACCGAGGCTAACCGCTCGCACCTTCTAACCGGGGTTTCTCTACTTCTCCTCTTAACATGTTCGAACCATCTCAACCTCGCCTCCCGCATCTTATACTCCACGGGGGCCACTCTCACCTTTTCCCGAATAACTTCATTCCTAATCTTATCCAACCGGGTATGCCCACACATCTACTTCAACATTCTCATCTCAGCTACTTTTAGCTTCTGAGTATAAGAGTTCTTGACCGGCCAACATTCTGCTCCATAAAACATAGACGGTCTAACTACAACCTTGTAGAACTTACCTTTTAAGTCTCAGCGGCACATTCTTATCACACAAGACACCGGAAGCGAGCCTCCACTACATCTATCCTGCTCCGATACGATGTGTGACATCTTCATCAATCTCTCCGTTACCTTGTATTATAGATCCAAGATACTTGAAACTACCTCTCTTGGGGATGACTTGCGTATCAAGCCTCACCTCCATATCCCTTTCCTGGGTATCGTTGTTGAACTTGCACTCCATGTATTCCGTCTTGGTCCTGCTCAACTTGAAACCCTTAGACTCTAGGGTCTGCCTCCAAACCTCCAGCCTCTCGTTAACACCACCCCGCGTCTCGTCAATTAAAACTATGTCATCCGCAAATAACATACACCATGGCGCCTCACCTTGAATGTGTCTCGTCAATGCGTCCATTGCCAAGGAAAATAGGAATGGACTAAGAATTGATCCCTGGTGCAACCCCATCATAACCGGAATGTGTTCTGAGTCTCCTCCCGCTGCCCTAACCCGAGTCTTAGCTTCATCATACATGTCCTTAATCACCCTAATGTAGGCTACTTGGACCCCTTTAGCCTCCAAGCATCGCCAGAGCACCTCTCGGGACTTTGCCATATGCTTTCTCTAAGTCAATGAACACCATGTGCAAGTCCTTCTTCATCTCCCTATACAGAACCACCAATCTCCTCACAATGTGAATGGCTTCCATAGTCGAACACCCTGGCATGAAACCGAACTGGTTCTCAGAAATGGACACACTGGTCCTCACCCTCACTTCAACCACCCTCTCCCAAACTTTCATAGTATGGCTTAGCAGCTTAATTTCCCTATAATTATTGCAACTTTGGATATCGCCCTTGTTTTTATACAGAGGAATCATCGTACTCCAGCTCCATTCATCGGGCATCTTATTCGTCCCAAAAATGACATTGAACAACTTAGTGAGCTACTCCAAACCTGCCCTACCCACATTCTTCCAAAATTTCACAGGTATTTCATCTGGCCCGGTAGCTCTACCCCTGTGCATACGCATAGCCCAATCGATCTCCTCTACTCTTATGCGCCTACAATACCCGAAATCTCGACGCATCTCGGAGTGCTCCAAGTCGCCCAACGCAATGTCCCTATCACCCTCTTCGTTCAGGAGTCTATGGAAATATGTCTGCCATTTTCGTCTAATCTGAGCCTCTTCCATCAAAACTCTACCTTCCTCATCTTTGATACACTTAACTTGATCCAGATCACGGGCCTTTCTCTCTCACACCTTGGTTAGCATGTATAGCTTCTTGTCCCCGCCTTTGCCCCCAAGCTCTTCATACAAACGCCGCAGTCTTAGCCGCAGTAACCGCTAACTTCGCCTCCTTCTTAGCCCTTCTATACCCCTCCTTGTTCATCCTCTTCGCCTCCTCGTCAATGCTCTCTATAAGTGTCAAGTACGTCGCTTGCTTGGCTTCCACTTTCTCTTGTACCTCCTCACTCCACCACCAGTCACCTTTGTGGCCGCCAGAGAAACCCTTTGAGACCCCTAACACTTCTCTCGCAGCTACTCTAATACACTCCGCTGTCGTGGTCCACATACAGCTCGCGTCCCCACTACTCCTCCCGGCTCCCATAGCCAACAACTTCCCCCCAACTCTTGCGCTCTGTCACTAGTCAAAGCACCCCACGTGATCCTTATACACGGCCCTCTTCCTCACGATCTCTAAGTCCATCACCAATAATCTATGCTGAGTCGTGAGATTCTCGCTGGTATAACCTTGCAATCCATGCACACTCCTATCGCACTTCCGGAGGAGTAGATAATCAATTTGAGTCTTGGCCAATGAACTCCGGAATGTAACCAAGTGCTCCACCCTTTTCGAAAAACACGAGTTGGCAATCACCAAATCAAAGGCTTTAGCACAGTCCAACAACGCAGACTCCAAAGCCAAAGCTGCCATGCACACCGCCATACCCCCCAGATGTCGCCCCAATGTGACCATTGAAGTCACCTCCTGGCTCCTATGAATAACTTCTCGGTGAGCGGAATGCCACGTACCAAAGCAAAAAAGAAAGAAAAAGAAAACAGAAAGATTAATTCTGAAATTGCTGATACATCCTGTAAGAAATAGTGAGAAGTTGCAAGAATTCTGATAAGACAGACAAAAAACTAGTAAAATACATTTCTAATTTTCTATATTAAAGCCCTTACCAGCTCTTGCTGAAGCTTGTTACTTTGCTGCATTGCAGAATTTTTCTCCTCTGTCAGCTTCAAAATTAGTGCTTTTGCCTGCAAATAAAACAAAAAGAATCCTCAATCTTTTGTTTCCTTAAAAAGTTACTCTGCATCTTTTCTTCTCCAAAGCGAAGAACAGTGTACAGTAATCCAGGTTTAGTTATAACGACAAACTTTACAGACTGTAACATCCACCTAATATGAAACAAGTATTCATTTGAACGAGCGGAAAGAAAATTTTAAACAGTACATTTGCTGAAGCCAAAAAATGCAGGGCCTAGGCAGTCATTAGCTACACTTGTAATTTACAAAAGCCTAAAAACGACTAGAGCTACAAAATAAATGTTTTACAAGCTAATAACATATGCAAGAAAATGACTGTCTTATACCATCATAGAACCAAATGATTCCACTCGAACTTCAGAGAGAGATTTTAGACTGACAGGTTTTCTCCTACTAATCTTGAATTCTTCTAGCATCACTGTTCGTGGTCCAAGTTAAAATCTTAAGCCAGGAGAACATAGTAGTACCAGCTCTTGCATACCAAAGGATCAAATACACAGATATATGAAATTTCTTAAAAGATGATTGCATGTCCAATATAGCATTGATCATGAGAATAAACCACTTCAAAAAAGGAAAGGGTATCCAAAACACAAAAGGCAATACATAGTTAAACACACTTAAAACTACTGTGATGAAATGATAAAATGATCTGTAACTAGTCAAACTGATAAATGCTATTCAAAGCAGAGATTCACTTTTTCAAGAACATAATGAAAAGTTGATCGGAATCAAATTGTAGAAGCCAAATAACAATGCATCATTAAAATAAAACTGCCCACAGTAGGTGACCAACACAACAAGAAAAGGAATATGACTTTGTAATTCTTCTGGAATAAAGGATGTTTTCACCAAGCAAAAGTTTGATCCACGACAACCTAGCAAAACTTTTAACACGATAAAGCTCCATTATGAGTTGTCTATATTAGATTAAATTTCCTAGTAATTTTTTTCTTCTGTAAGCAATAGTTTACTTCTCTCGTAAAGTAGCTATCTCGGATGCATGTATAACAACATTTTGGGCCAAAATGACAAAGAAAAGTACCATCTATATTACAGGTAAAAAGATGGAAGCTGGGTCAGAAATAATGAGGAACTATACATGAGATTTATAACAGCTTTTGATACATAGCTCAAATCACTAGCTTTGCAGGGAGTTGTCCTTTTTGACAGAATGGGTGCATGGTGGAGGTAAGAGTACAGGGAACATGCTATGAGCTTACAAAACTTCAAGTCGAGAAAGCTCAATTAGAAAATTTGTTTATAAGAATTAAAAAGATATGCCTATTGGCTCTCCTGAGGGAAGCTTGATACTTTCAGCTATCCTTCAACAAGTGAAGTGGTTTGCCATTCTTCCTCAAATTACAGGTGTTCTATAGCTCAACCTCTGTAGCAAAGATCAGTTGATATGCCTGATCCAGACTGAGTTTTTAACCACAATCAGGAGGTAAGCAGGTATTCGAGTGGCTAAGAAATCAGAATTTAATACATTCTTGTTTATTTCATTGAGTGATACTGGCAATTACGATATTGGGGCAATATTTTCTATTCATTTGCAAATGAGGAAAAAAGAAGTATACAATGAAAACAATGATACTCAACAGAATGCAAAGGGTATTGCATATCCAAAGTACCTTTCCCATTAGTCAGTTATCATTCTGACTAGACAATCAAGGAACACTATATTCCATACCACGTGGTAATACCTTGTGCTAAAAAAAGGGACCTTGAACCTAACTCAACCTCGAAGTGCAGCTCGTGAGTTAAGGATTGTCCAAGACCATATAAAAGATTAATGTCCATTTCATCAAACAAAAAAGGAAAAAAGAAAAGGAGACAACTGCCCATACCCTCGACAAGTGTAAGACTCTAACATCCTGGCATGCCCAGGACTGAACATCTGGAGAGTGAACAAGGCCCACGCCCACATCGGGCCAACATCAGGGATGCGTTTGACTCTATTATAATATCATATTAAGAAAAATAGACATTGGCCGTAGTCAACGCAAGAGTTAGCTCGTAAAGTGAGGATCATACAACACCATATAAAGAGACTATGGTTGATCCCTCAACCAATGTGGGGCTAACACCTTGCAATTAGAAAACACTAATAAATTCAAATTTAAAACAACAGTATTCCACTGTATAAGAGCAAAACACTGGAAAGGCGGAAAAAAGATAGACACAAACCAAACAATTCTCAATGCTCAAATACAAAGGCCCTAGAAAGATTGCCATGTTTAATATACCTTTTGCTATAATGCTCAAATGCAATGTGGGGCTAACACCTTGCAATTAGAAAACACAANTGGAAAATGAAAACTACCTCTGATGAGTTGTCCTGTGGCTCAGCATATGTCCTTGAAGCCTGCACAACAACCGGATATCTCATTTTCCATTTGAACCCTGCTAGCTTTTTACCCCAAAAAAGAAATCTTTAATCTTCAAAAAATAAGGGCAAGACACCTAAAAACTCACATTGTGGAACTCAGCTCCATTTTCAGATATAGAAGCCCTAGGTGAGGAACCTTCCTCAGACCCCTCCTGCACAGGTGATGGTGGTTGAGGTGGAACATAAGCCACTCTCAACTTGCACTCGTCAACATGATTCCCCGACTCCTTGTTGAACTAAAAAAAAAACAAAATACCCACAGATAAACCATGCTACTTCTCATCAATTAGCAGAACAGAAACAATAACCAATATATCAAATCAATTAACACTTCAAACAACAAAACTTTAATAATCTTTACCATTTACAACAACAACGACCCAATAAATCCCACAAGTGGGGTCTGGGAAGGATAGTGTGTACGCAGACCTTACTAGGGGGGTCTGGGGAGAATAGTGTGTACGCAGACCTTACTAGGGGTGGGCATTCGGTTTATCAATTGTGTATACCAAAGTATTTCGGTACGGTTTAATACATATTCATGTGTCACGTACTGCTAAGAGCCTAAGCAAGCAGAAACAACCACTAACGAGTAAACAATCTGCCTAACAAAAGGCAGCAGAGCACTAAATAAACAATCTGCCACTCTACCTAATAAAAGGCGTGTAAGAAACATTCAAATCAGCCTAACAACATGCAGCAGCACACCTGATTATCACATTCACAGCAAGTACTTGAGAGGGAAAAGAGGTAAATAAATATCACAGCAAGCTAAGATAGTAACAACCACTAACGAGTAGCAGCAGAATTAAACACAGTGCAACAAAAACAGAGAGGGCATAAACCTGCCAAACATAATTCAAGTTTACACTAATAGTCTCGAATCAAATTAGTCTTAATTCTTAAATACGAATTTCAGGAAGACGCTCAAGACAACGCCTAATATGCTTCCTTAAACAATATGTGCTATCCCTCTTTAGATGAACATTATAGACTCGACCACAATGCTTGCACTCTACTTTGCGAACTTCTCCGTTATCTTCTATCACCTCAAAGTGTTCCCAAATATGAGAGCGTACTTTAGGAGCACGAGGCATGATTGCACTTGAACCTAAAAAAAGATAAATCATAGGTTAGAATATTATTTTTTGATGATAATAGAACAAAACTACATCACTAAACAAATAGAGTATTAAACTTACCACTCAAGTTGCAACTATACATCAAACAATGCTAGTAGTGCTTCCATATCTAAAGATAATTCGACCAAATATGTCATACAAATAAACAACTATGATATATTATTTTGAACAAAAATATTAAAGCTTACCAAGCTCGAGTTCCTCAAGATACTCACAGTTTTCTTCAACACTAATAGGATTTTTTTCTAAGCCAATCTTGAACACATTTAGGAGTCAATGAACTCCTAAATGAATCAAAAGTACGGCCACCGGTGCTAAACGCACATTTCGACGCCACACTAGAAATTGGAATGGCCAACATATCACGAGCCAACTCTGAAAGAATAGGAAATCTAGGAGCATGTGTTTTCCACCAACTTAAGATATCAAATTCTTCACTAAAAGACTCTTGTTCTTCACTAATGTATTTATCCAACTCCGATTTAGCACCCCCACTTCCATTGTTTCTTCAAGTGAAACTTCGTCCTTATTAATGATGCAGTTATAACACTCTCACTAGATGTATTATTAGATGAAGTAGAACTAGATGGAGATTGAGGACAAGATCCAGTTGAATACTTTTCAAACAAAGAATTCATATAAGCATACACCTCAACATTTATTTTCTTACCTTTATCCTCCCCAAAAAGTTCTTCAAGTGCAAGGCTAACATTCAAATTTGTTACGTGGATCCAAGACGGAAGCAATAAAAATCATCTTTTCAGGCTCACCCCAATACTTATTGAACTTTTCTTGCATCCGCTCAGCCATTTCTCAAATGTTCATCTTCACTAATTAAACACATTTTCAAATGACAATAAAGTTTAGATACATCCTCAAAATGAGAATTACAAGTGACATAACGTGAACCTGAAGCTTTTTTGGTGAGCTCGTAAAATCTTGCAAGAAACTTTATCACATTCCCCAATCATCAGATTCAAGAGGCCCTGCACTACTACCAACTTCACAAAGATGAGAACATAGATAAGCAAAAAATCCATCATCAAAAAGATAAAACTTGTCAAAGGCCTTTTCAAAGTTTTGTGCCGTATTCAACATCAAATAGGTGGAATTCTACCTAGTAGGAACATCCAAACACAATGTTTTGGTACATTCTATCTTTACATGTGCACAACACTGTTTAAACTTTAAGGTCCTTGCAGGCGACGATCTCACAATATTTCTAACACGTGCGACAGAAGCATCAATTTCTTTCAAACCATCTTGCACAATTAGATTTAGTATATGAGCCATGCATCTCACATGAAGATGTTTACCACTCATCATATTAGTTTTCCACATATCTAACTTTTTAGACAATTCTTTGACTGTGACATCATTTGAAGAAGCACTATCCACGGTAATAGTGAACACCTTGTCTAATTTCCATTCAAGCAAACAATTACAAATAGCCATCTCTTCACCCTTATGACTAGTGATAGGGCAAAAAATTAGTATTCTTTTATGCAAGCTGTCAAACACATATAATTTATTCTTTGCAATGAAGTCCATGTGTCTGTTGTGAGGCAAATTTTTGGTTGTGCTTCTCTAAAAGACCTTCTTAGATTTTGCTTCAATTCACCATAAACTTCATAACAATCCCTTGTTATTGTTCTACGAGAAAGAAGACGAAATAGTGGTTGAGTTATTCTCATAAACTTCATAAAGCCTTCATTTTCTACAAAGCTAAATAGTAGTTCATCAATAACTATCATCTCAATTAAAGCCCTCCTAATCACTTCTTGATCGAATTTCCAAAGCGATCCTCCATCATTTTGGCAAGATTGAAAGTTTATCCTTGTCTGAGTATTATCAATATTAGGTGGGTATTCTTTGCATCTATTCAAATGACTTCTCAATCCTGTTGTTCCATTCTTAGATGAATTAGCAGCATAAACTTGCTTACAATATTTACACCTTGATTTACTGACCCCATGTTCCTGAAATTTATCAAAATGTTTCCAAACTTTGGATCTAGGTTCTATGACTTTTCTTAGAATCTTGAGTATCAATTGTGTTGGCATTGCTATCATCAGTAATAGGTAAGCTTTCAGTTGAACCAACATCACTTATTCTACTTCATCCGCCATCTATACAAAATTAAAACAAATATAAACACAAATTGTTAAAACCAAAACACTAAATAGAACACTACAAGGGCGAATGGTCGTGTAATGAGCAGAGAACAGCCTAGTACAAGAGCATATCACACACCATAAGGAAAAACTATTCTCCATCTAGTTAGTTTGTCATTCCTGGAAATAAATAAATTAATCATACTAGAAGTAGAAAATGACCACTTTATTTATTTCCAGGAATGACAAACTAACTAGATGTGGAATAGCTTTTCCTTATGGTGTGTGATCTGCTTTGGTACTAGGCTGTTCTCTGCTCATTACACGACCATTCGCCCTTGTAGTGTTTTGCTTGTAGTGTTCTATTTAGAGTTTTGGTTTTAACAATTTGTGTTTATATTTGTTTTAATTTTGTATAGAAGGCGGATGAAAGTAGAGTAAGTGATGTTGGTTCAACTGAAAGCTTACATATTACTGTTGATAGCAATGCCAACACAATTGATAATCAAGATTCTAAGAAAAGAAAAGCCATAGAACCTAGATCCGAAGTTTGGAAACATTTTGATAAATTTTAGGAAAATGGGATCGGTAAAGCAAGGTGTAAAGATTGTAAGCAAGCTTATGCTGCTAATTCATCTAAGAATGGAACAACATGATTGAAAAGTCATTTGAATAGATGCAAAGAATACCCACCTAACATTGATAAAGATAATACTCAGACAAGGATAAACTTTCAATCTTGCCAAAATGATGGAGGATCACTTTGGAAATTCAATCAAGAAGTGATTAGGAGGGCTTTAATTGAGATGATAGTTATTGATGAACTACCATTTAGCTTTGTAGAAAAGGAAAGCTTTATGAAATTTATGAGAATAACTCAACCACTATTTCGTCTTCCTTCTCGTAGAATAATAACAATGGATTGTTATGAAGTTTATGGTGAATTGAAGCAAAATCAAAGAAGGTCTTTTAGAGAAGCACAACCAAAAATTTGCCTCAGAACAGACACACAGACTTCATTGCAAAGAATAAATTATATGTGTTTGACAGCTCACTTCATTGATAGAGATTGGAAGTTGCATAAAAAAATACTAAATTTTTGCCTTATCACTAGTCATAAGGGTGGAGAGATGGCTAAAGCTATTTGTAATTGTTTGCTTGAATGGAAATTAGACAAGGTGTTCACTATTACCGTGGACAATGCTTCTTCAAATGATGTCACAGTCAAAGAATTGTCTAAAAAGTTAGATATGTGAAAAACTAATATGATGAGTGGTAAACATCTTTATGTGAGATGCATGGCTCATATACTAAATTTAAATGTGCAAGATGGTTTGAAAGAAATTGATGCTTCTGTCACACGTGTTAGAAATATTGTGAGATCGTCGCCTGCAAGGACCTTAAAGTTTAAATAGTGTTGTGCACATGTAAAGGTAGAATGTACCAAAACATTGTGTTTGGATGTTCTTACCAGGTGGAATTTCACCTATTTGATGTTGGATATGGCACAAAACTTTGAAAAGGCCTTTGACAAGTTTTATCTTTTTGATGATGGATTTTCTGCTTATCTATATTCTCATCTTTGTGAAGATGGTAGTAGTGCAGGGCCTCTTGAATATGATGATTGGGTGAATGTGATAAAGTTTCTTGCAAGATTTCATGAGCTCACCAAAAAAGTTTTAGGTTCACGTTATGTCACTTGTAATTCTCATTTTGAGGATGTATCTAAACTTTATTGTCATTTGAAAATGTGTTTAATTAGTGAGGATGAGCATTTGAGAAAAATGGCTGAGCGGATGCAAGAAAAGTTCAAGAAGTATTGGGGTGAGCCTGAAAAGATGAATAAAATGATTTTCATTGCTTCTGCCATGGATCCACTTAACAAATTTGAATATGTTAGCCTTGCACTTGAAGAACTTTTTGGGGAGGATAAAGGGAAGAAAATAAATGGTGAGGTGTATGCTTATATGAATTCTTTGTTTGAAGAGTATCTAAAAAAGTATTCAACTGAATCTTGTCCTCAATCTCCATGTAGTTCTACTTCATCTAATAATAAATCTTGTGAGAGTGTTATAACTGCATCATTAATAAGGACGAAGCTTCACTTGAAAAAACAAAAGGAAGACAATGGAAGTGGGGGTGCTAAATCGGAGTTGGATAAATACATTAGTGAAGAACAAGAGCCTTTTAGTGAAGAATTTGATATCTTAAGTTGGTGGAAAACACATGCTCCTAGATTTCCTATTCTTTCAGAGTTGGGTTGGGATGTGTAGGCCATTCCAATTTCTAGTGTGGCGTCGAAATGTGCGTTTAGCACCGGTGGCCGTACTCTTGATTCATTTAGGAGTTCCTTGACTCCTAAATGTGTGCAAGCTCTTGCTTGTGTTCAAGATTGGCTTAGAGAAAAGAAGAATCCTATTAGTGTTGAAGAAGACTGGGAGTATCTTGAGGAACTCGAGCTTGGTAAGCTTTAATATTTTGTGTGTATTTTAGTTCAAAATAATATATAATAGTTTTTTATTTGTATGATATATTTGGTCGAATTATCTTTAGATATGAAAAATAATGGAAGCACTACTAGCAATGTTTGATGTATAGTTGCAACTTGAGTGGTAAGTTTAATACTCTATTTGTTTGGTGATGTAGTTTTGTTCTATTATCATCAAAAAATAATATTCTAGCCTATGATTTATCTTTTTTTTAGGTTCAAGTGCAATCATGCCCCGTGCTCCTAAAGTACGCTCTCATATTTGGGAACACTTTGAGGTGATTGAAGATAACGGAGAAGTTCGCAAAGTAGAGTGCAAGCATTGTGGTCGAGTCTATAATGTTCATCCAAAGAGGAATAGCACATATTGTTTAAGGAAGCATATTAGGCGTTGTCTTGAACGTCTTCCTTAAATCCGTATTTAAGAATTAAGACTAAGTTGATTCGAGACTATTAGTGTAAACTTGAATTCTGTTTGGCAGGTTTATGCCCTCTCTATTTTTGTTGTACCGTCTTTAATTCTGCTGCTACTCGTTAGTGGTTGTTACTATCTTAGCTTGCTCTGATATTTATTTACTTCTTTTTCTCTTTCAAGTACTTGCTGTGAATGTGATAATCAGGTGTGCATCTGCCATGTATGTGTTGCTGCATGTTGTTACGCAGATTTGAATGTTTCTTACACGCCTTTTGTTAGGCAGAATGGCAGATTGTTTACTCGTTAGTGGTTGTTTCTGCTTGCTTAATGCTTCGGCTCCTAGCACTTAGCAGTACGTGACACATGAATATGTATTAAACCGAAAACGTACCGAACCAAAATAAGAAATACCGAAATACTTTGGTACGGTATTTGGTATACACAATTGATAAACCGAATACCGAAATACCGAACCGAAGTACCGAATGCCCACCCCTAATAACAACATCATCATAAAGACCAGAAAATGGATGGAACGTAAAAGCGAGAGCCCCTAAAAAGACCCTGCACTGTGAAAAACGAAAGATTAGTGAGACACAACATTAACCACTAGTAGGAACTTACCATTTCTGGAGTAATATCCTTAGGCGTAGTTCCAGGGCCTGCCACGACACTTTGAAGCAGGAACTTATCCTTGCATTGCATGTCTGGTGGTGCCTCTTTTTGTGCTTGCATTGTAACTGAACCCATAAATTGTACAAACAAATGCAAAAAAAAAAAAAAAACATCAATATCAACTATTACTACATCTGATTCACAAACTACTAGTAACTATAACAACAATTACTAGTAAAAAGATATTTAGCAAACTCAAAAGAACATACAGCGGCATACGTATAAGGAGAACTCTGTGTGTGTGTGTGTGTGTGTGTGTGTGTGTGTGAGAGAGAGAGAGAGAGAGAGAGAGAGAGA